AAAAGATGGCCTTGTTGTCTCGGAGAGGCCCCCATTCTTGTTGCATTGACGGTTCCGCGATCGCGGAACCGTTCACTTGACGTAAGGTGGCCTTGCAATTTCGTTGAGGCCGCCGTTTTTGTTGCATTGACAATTCCGCGATCGCGGAACCGCAGCTGTGACAAAAGGGGGCCATACGTGTTCGGAGCAATCGCCATTCTTGGGACACTGACGGTTCCTCCATCATGGAACCGTCACTGTGCCAAAAGGGGGGAAGTGTACCTGGACATGAATATATTTTTGCAAGGAGGGCTTGCTCCCTTTTGTGCCATAGCTGCGCCAGGTGCACCTCGGTCAGATTTCGGTTTTGCCTCTAAACTCCAAACCGAGCAATTTCTTGCCGTCCTAAGTGTGACATCACGGATTGCAATGATAGGTGCTACCACGCATTCCTCTTCCGGATGGAGGGTGGCCGCCCTGTGGTGTACGGTAGAGAACACGACTTGCCCGGCCAGGCCTGGGTGGGGTGGCCAGAGGGCGGCGGGTGGCCAGTGTTCCTTGAGGATGCTGTGATACCCTCCTTCGATAGCCTATCTCTGGAGCCAAGGACGCCGCTCCAACAATTCGCTGGGATACGAGAGAGGGCACTGAAGTTCGTCGGCAAGCTCAGAAGCCTACTTGCCTCCACAACTGGTTTGTCCGGCGAGGAGGGCCCTGCCACCGTCCTAAGGGCGCGTTACGTCCACGCCATACGGTGGTGGGAAACCTTTATTGAGGACCACAGGTCCACCTTTCCGGAAGGGGACGTCGACGACCGAGTGGGAGGATCCCTCAGGGTGGCAGAGTGTGGCCGCGGGGACGAGGACGACCTTTTGCCCGTGCCTAGCCAGGGGCCCACCACTGAGCTTGGTCCCGTAGTGGAAAGGTGTGATGGTTTTTGTGCACAACATACCACCTCTGCCACATTGTTTCATATCCATAAAAAAACCTTTGGGCCCGTCATCTCATCTGTCGTGCACAAACACCCTGCCTTTGTATAAATGACCTTCAGCACACTGCCTGCGTGGCATCTCCGCCCCGGGGGCTGCCATTGCGTGGTCTTGGTCTGTACTGCATGTTGTATGTTTCTTCCCATTTGCCCCTTTGGTAACGTCCAACCTTTGATATCAGTGTTGTGGTTTGACTCCCAATGTGGCATGCGGTTACTGACTAGTTCTACCCGCCCATTGTACAGGGACGTGGGCCCCATCCCAGGGGAGTGTGCAATGTTCTTTGGTCACTCACACAGGGCCCCAAGACCTGCCGACGTGAGACCGTTCCGACCAGAGCACGACGTTGCCCCCGGGGTGACTGTCGCCATTCGGATGGCAGACGAAGACGCCGATGCCTGGGCCCGGGTGTTTGACATCGCCAGAGTCACCAGGGTATTCGACCCCAGTGAAGAAAACGGATATGACGTGCGCCACTTTGAAGTGCAGTACTACGCTTGTGAAGGCGTTGTGGAGAACTGTGACCCCGACAACCCTCCCTTCATCAGTGAAGAAGTCCAACTAAACCTCCCGTGGTTCCTTACGGGCCAAAAGGAGGTCATCCCTTGGACGGCAGTGGTGAATGAGCAGTGGGTGGGAGGAGATGGCCACTTATGGCCATGTTGGCGGGAGTGTCTAAGGCGGGAGCTTCCCCGCCTTCATTCCACAGATCCTGGCGGGGATTAACACAGGCGTAATCTTCTTGGGTTGTACAATACTTGTAATATTCTTGTGCCGAGACCCTGTGTGTGTTTTATCTCATCTTCACACTTTGTGATGGCATCACAGTATTGTGAGCATCCTGTGTGTATGCATTGCATACAAGTTGTCGCTTGGCCGACACCAGGCTTTGGGGAGCAGTCGCGGGGGCAAGTTCACATCCAGTGGCGGGCACCAGGCTGTAACCAACGTTTAGCCAGTTGATACGGTTCCGCCATGGCGGAACTGCCAGTAGGCCGCCAGAGCCGCCAGTGACTTGACTGCCAACATTACAATGTACTACCGCCTTCGTTCGCCAGGTTTGATACCTCAGCCATTTTATGTCAAAGAGTTGTAACATAACCGCACCTGTAGGAAACTTTAGAGGCAGACAATCACAGATGCGATGGAAGTGTTATGTCTCAAAAAGGCCTGCATTTAGGGTATCTTTTAGAGCAAGTAGTTTTGCTTGGGGTTGGTAGTAATATTGCACAGATCCCTGTGGCAAGTGTAGTCACGCTGCCACCTTCAACACCGTCACTTGTGGTTCTGCCACGAAACTGCAAGCTTAGGCACCGAAAATGCTGAGATCAATATAATATTTATGGTGGCGGGTGCCGCCAGCACCAGCCCAAATACAGCGAAATTATTAACATGACATTGAAACAATATTCCACGATAGTGGGATCGACGTTGTGCAAATATGCTACCTAATAGGTTTATAGCATGGCGCAATGGGACATTTTGAACGGAAGGGAGTTTTGAGTTGTGGTATGGGACACAATAGACTTGATCTTTGTGGGAATTTTGTTTGGTACCCCGTATCTTTTGTCCGGCCGGTCTTCTAGCATGGTGTGTCTCCGTGGCCGAGGACGTCCACACTTTGTGGGGGGGGGGAGAAATGATACAGTGTATAGATTAGATGACTTTTGATGATATTTGATTGTGTTGTGGACCTTCTGAGTGGTCAAAGATAATGAATGTGTGGTTGTATGGACAATGGAACGATTCAATTGATTGTTATATCATGTACTTAATGTAAGTCCACTCGGGAGCATTGTTCTCCCGTTCTCATTCCCTGTCCGCGCGTGAGGGGCCTTCGGCCCCGTATCAAGATGTGCTTTGTGGCACAACCATCACGGGAATCAAGAATGCTGTCAAGGTGTCATCACTGGCTTGAGAGTGTTGCCAATGCTGATTGGGATTCTCACTTATTCTTTATTGGGTTGGCTACCAAGAGTGTGCAAGTCCGTGATGCTGGTTGGGTGGTATGGATTAGCGGACTGTGTTGTGTGGTAGAACAAGTGCTTCAGTGGTGTGAGGGTGGGGACCGTGTACTTCTTGAATTCACAAGTAAAGAGAACTATCATGAAAGCAAGGAAAGGGAAGAAAATATGCTCACAATTGTGTACTTAGAGCGTTTGTGCCAGTGGTGATGCTTGCGTAGTCCAAGTTATTCTAATGCAGATTTGAGAGCTCGATGGGTGAATGGATGGCCCATTTGTTCTTATGAAGGGAGGGGCGGTTGAGTCAGCCTAATTGGTAGCCGTGCTCCGTTTCAAAGTTTTGTCTAACGTAAAATTCAAATTGCGTGGGTTTCAACCTGTCGAATCAACCCAATGCCCAACAATTGGTGCTTGTGGCCGGAGTGGGTGGGGGGAAGGGCCAACAACAGGGCTCCAGGAGCAAGTAAACTGCATGTGACATAGTTACTTAGGGTTAGGCAGTTATTGACATCTTCTGGAATGGTGATTATATAATTGGGGATATCGACTTTTGAGGGTGTTATTTAGAGCTTCTTGGTTCCAACGCGTCTTTAAACGCCTGATTCCGTTAAGAAACGGCAAAGATATGGCCTCCTAAAGTCGTAACACTTAGGGCCAATCGGGTGTTAGATGCTTGGAATTAGAGGACAATTGGTCGATCGTAGGTGAACGGTGGATGGTCACAATGTGCCTGGATGCACACTTGTGTTGTCTTGTCTTGATGTGACAGCGATAGACCCGTGATCGGGCATCGCACATGCGGATTTGTGCGTGCGCATGCAGTAAATTCGTGTAACCATTCTGGCCCATTCTCTGGCTTCCCGCAAATCAGCGAACCAACGCCTCACCGTGCCGCCACCTCTCGCCGACAGCAGGCCTTGGGGATTGATCCACGTTGAGCATTGGGCCCACCGCGCAACAATAGAAGCGACTGCCCCGGATACGCCCACTATCCGAGGTGGAGAGGCCGGTTGACCTCCAACAGCCGTGCTGCAGGGCAGGGCGACCCCAACGACTCCATAAACCAGTGGCTGCTGACGGGGCCGCAACACTGCAAGTCTCAGGAATTGTGGCACCAACGCGAGTAGATGCATGTTTGTTCAAAAAGAGGGGCCCCAATTTTGAATGGATTTTTGCTAGTCGGAAGAAATGTCGACTCGCATACCATAGTCCTATATCAACACTTCTGTCGCAACAGGTGTTTGGGTTTGCGGGAGGATTTGAGGCCCCAATCCTCATTTCCCCTTCGTTCAGGAGTCTCCTTTAAGAGCTGAAACATTGTGGCATTTTCGATTTCTTTGCTGAGGGCCGGCGGGCAGCTAATGGGCCGCATGCCCCGCGGATTTTCGGATAAGAATCTTGTTTTGAAAGATGGAATTGCTCACACCCGCAAGCATGTTGGGTGACCAAGCACTGTGCACTCATTTTGCGTAGAAAGTCCTTTGTGTGCGCAACATCAGGGCTTTGGAACTGCCCGTTCGTTATGGCAACAGGATATCAAAAATAGGTGAATGACAGAAGAACACACACAATAGTGACAAAAACGGAGCTCATTGCCCTATCATGTAAAAATGAATGATGATGATGAAGCCAGACAGGATCAAGGGATGGAGATCACTGAACGGGAATCGTACGCTCGAGTCGACGGCAACGCTTTACAGACGAGGCCAAAGGACAACAGGCGTTCTGTCCTTTATATTCAGTCCCTTCACCAACGTCCTTAATGCAATTTCTAGTGCCTCATCACCTCTTCATGCATTCAGTCGTTACTAATACTCAATCAGCTCTAGTTACAACAATGATGACAAAAATGGACTCACATTGTGTGCCCAGAAACCTCCACCTACCAGTGTCGTCACAATCGGGCCCAACAAGCAACCCAAGGCGCACGGGCGCGACCGCGGCTGCCTCTACCCGCCGGCCCCCGTGCCCCAGCTCCCCGCCGCCAACGCTGCGGTCCTCGCCCCGCCGCGCCCGCTCTTCCCCACTGAGCGCACACACAAAGGGGTGCCCAGCGGACCGTGCCCCCATGGCCTCTGTGCTGAACGGCTCGGCGCTGTCCATAGAGGGCCTGGCCCAGGCGGTGGGCGCCCTCAGGCTGGACGCCGCGTGGCGCCGGTGGAGCGCGAACAACCCGGAGGCCGCGCGGCACCTGATGGCCGCGACGAGCGTCGCCCTGTCGCTGGGCGTCGTGTCGCTGAGCGTGTTCGCTGGTGAGCAGAATCCTCAGTCTTTTCCGAGTGGATGCCTTCTTCTTCCGCTGACAAAGCCAACGCCGATCGGTGGGTCAGTGGTTTAGGGTTTAGGATGTCCGGAAACAAGATGGGATCCACACGAAAGACAGAGCGACTAATGTCATGCCGCCGGTGAGGGCCTCGCCGGGCGGGGCCCCGTCTTTGCGTTGTTCTGCGGTGGCGCCCGATTCGCCCTCTTCGCCTTTCGGCTTGGAATTGGAACTCCGGCCTTCCGGTCGACAAGGTGCAGGCCACCTGCTGCACCACGCGTTCTTTGGGAATCTGCGTTCGCTTCCGCGCGTGCAACTGAACTGGTGGTCGACCCCATGTCTATCTCCGCTCGCCGGGGATCCCGTCCAGGTGTCAGAACGGAACTGGCGATCCCCTTCCGCTCTGTCCCGCGAGCCTCGGCGTCCATTGTTGCTTGGATTGATCCCCCTTCCTTGGCTGATCGTGGCGGCCTTGTGAAAACCCTGGGGCTCGTCGGGGCCCAGGCGCAGCGCTCACTCCTGTGTCAGGCGCCAGAGCCCAACGTGCCCACAGCGAACGAACCTTTTCGCGACTCTGAGGACGCCGATGTGCGAGGCTCTGAAAGAGAAACCAGCCCACACACCTTGCCCGGCATTTCCGGCTGCCCAGAGCGTCAGCCCTGCGGATGGAAGGATTGTTTGCACGTCCCAGATTTGGCTCCCACTCGACGACCTGGCATCAAATCCCTAGGAAGCTGCCGTCCCTCCTCTGGGAGTGCGTTGCCGAATCGCCCCTGGCCTGTGCGGTCTCCGAACCGTTCCCATCGCGTCGATTTGCCCCACTCTGCGTTCTGCTGTCCTGACGCTGAGCGCGTGTGTGCAGGGTGGTCGTTGATGTGGTACACCACGCTGCGCAAGGTGATGTTCTTCAGAGAGCTTTTCGGCTTGGACAGGTGTGGGCTTCGCCTGTCTGGGGCCGTGATCGAGTCGCTTTCCCTTGCTAATTGCCCAGCGCAAGGTGCACTCACTGCCTGGATGCCAGGTGCTTGCTGGCGTTAGTTGCTTATATTTGGCAATTTAAGAAAAGGCTGCTCGTCATGGATTGGCTTCTCTTGATAAATTGGTCCCACGGACTAAGGAAAACCAGGCCATTGACATGCATGGCAAGGACAGCGTCTTTTGATCGCCTCAGTATGTGTCTGAACGCTCATGAATGTCTTGAGCGACCCAGAAGACAACAAAGGCAAACCAATGTGAAGTCCAAAGGAAAGGCAGTCCGAATGCCGTCTCTGCACTCTAGAATCGAGAGCGGCATCATATGAAAAGCAGATGAGGTCTGACGATGGCGCATCAGCCCATCAGTGATGTGCGTACATGCACGCAAGACGCCTTTTCAACAGAAAGGAAGATGCAGTATGCCACAGTGTAAAAAAATATTCCTCATGCATAAGCTTTCTGTAGAAAAGGAGTTCTACGGTTTTGTAGAAAATGATATAGAAATCTCCAAGCCCAGCAGAAAACCATCGCAGCAGCTGCAAATGCCAGTCCAAGTTGCGTATCTGTTGCCTCCCCAGTTGTAACGGCCTTGTTATGTAATGTGTGCTTGAAAATGTAGCAACTGCAATTCATGCATGCCCAAGCCTGATTGCATTCCATGTGCAGCACAACTTACAGCGCTGTTATTGTGAAAGACACCACTGTCGCTGCCCCAAAATTGACTTCTACAAAAACAGAATCTCCCTGCACTGAGTCCCCTGTGGGATGTCGCTGTGCATTTTATTGTGTTTGACTGTTTGTTCTCGTTTGTTTGTTTGTCAGTATTTGTTGCATTGAAATGTACTCAAGAGTCATTGATCAAAATAGTTATCATGTATGCAAACTTTTTCATCAGCATACTTGGAGGATCAGAATAATGAGAACATTCGATGGAAATAAATCTCCAATACATGCACAGTCTGGAATCTCACTCCTATGCACAGCACATGGTTGAAAGTTAGGTATGTGGGTAAATGACATAAATTCTGGAAATGCCAATGGGAAGGCAGTGATCAAGGGGAGTTGTGGGAAACATGTGAAAGAATGTGTTACTAATGAGCGTTTGGGCTCCCTCTTGAGGGCACGAGACCTGCTGCACATCAGAATGACAGTGAGGTAGATTCCCTACTGAAGTCTGTGTGTCTTGCCAGGGCTTTTGAGGAGCAGTACCGAATAGCAACCGAGGAAGAGATCCGAAGGGTCAAGGTAGGGCTGACACAAGGTCTATGTGGTATTCCAATTCACTGCATTTACCTGCAACCTGTGGGTTGGCGATGCAATCGCCATTTTCTTCACCTGATGATGGCATGAGCATGACTCCCGGGGAATCCTGGCTCCCAGCACATTTCCTACCAAAGAATTCCATTGTGCCCGCAACTGCATGCAGGGTAGCTTGCGGTGCATGCAGTTGTGTGACTATTGTAAGCAGGGCGCATAGAGTATTCTGGTCCTGTGTGTTGACAGCCTGTCTTCTGTGCGTATTCGTAGCTCACCCTATGACCATTCACAGCGCGTCTTGGAAATTTCCTTGTCTTCTGTCGCACAAGCAGTGTTTGTTACCACAAGAGCTGGGATTCTTCACGAATGTCCCAAAATGTGCTTTGTAGATATGCACAGGAAAAGGGCTGAAAACTCATGGAAAAAAGTTGCTGTCAGAACGTAGATTTGCAAAATTAGGGTAAATTGTGTTTGTGACAGCACCCCTGGTGCATATTTCCTTCGTGCATGCTTTCCCTGGGCATTACACCACCCTGAGTACAGTCCTTTGTTGCATGCCCTGCAGAGACAACACAACCGCCTCCACACGCCCCTGTGCACAATAGCCGAGATTGATGGCCGGGAATATAGCGACGAAGATACCCACCCGAATTGATACCTTGATGCCTGATTCCTATGTTCTGGATCGGTCCATCAAGGCAGCCGGATTGGCAAACCTTGCTTGTACCAGCAAGCCGTAGGTCAAAGGCAGATGGCATCAAGATCGATTACCCTTTCTGCTGCAAGAGAGATTCTGTGTACAATAGATGCCTGTGAGTAGATTCGACTTCTAGCACAGTTTTGTGGAATGGGCAACGCTGCTCTCCAGGTGAAACTAGGCAGCAGATGGGTGTCATGTGCACGATCGTAGATGTTCTCTGGGTTTCCTACAGACACTTTGTGCTCACCAACCCGCCTACCCACAAATTACAAGGCGCATTTTATGCCGGTGGCTCTCTAGGACCAGCTAGAGGGCCCCAGTTGTCTTGGCCTAGCAGCTTCCATTCTTTATTGTTTGTTAAGGGACTACCGGTATTCCAAGAAATGATGTGTTGCTGTAACATTCTCCGGTCACAGCGCAAACCCCAATTTCGCAACTCTGTGTAGCCGTGTTCTTGTCAGAAAAGGTGGGTGTGGGCCCACACCCACCCCGAAGATGTAAATTGGCAACTTCCTGTGGTGGTGTGTGCACCGCCGAAAGGCAGTCCACCGCCACATGGCAAGAGACACTCGCGAAGGCTGCATGGATGCGCCCGTTCAAAATTTGAAGTTTGGTGGTGGATGGCTGGCGTGGGGGACGCGCTCCCATTTCCTGTGGAAAAGATTGCGAGAGCTGTCAGACTGCACGTGCGTGCGTCGAATGCCTCAGCAGTCCGACTTGCAGGCCCAGGTGCGCGGCCGATGCCCAATCAGTACATGGGATGCGCACAAAGTGGCTGTGTCATTGGCAATGATTTCGCGTGCACGCCATCGCGAAGGAGCAGAACAAGCATGGCATCATAAACAATGCACTGCGAGGAAAAGGCGCTTGGAAATGCGTATTGGTCAGGTGAAGGGCTGAAGCCGTCCCATGGCTCCTTTTTCATGGTGCAGCACACCCACGGCGGAGTTTGCCGTCTCGCAATTGTGTACCCAAGCCAATGCGGTAGCTCAGGCGTTTCTGGCCCTGCACTGCTCCCAGCCTCCGTGGTTGTGTCCAGGTCACTGACAGACACCGCTCCATGGCGACTGGCCTGGCACCGATTAATCAACCGATGCATCGGTCCAGTAGGCAATGCGTCAATGCTCCTTTCACACGACGCCACGGAAGCGAGAGCCCGAGCGCCGCCTTGCAACGCAGCACGTGCCCCTCTGCTGCCGACCCGAATGCAGGCACGCAATGGCCGTTGTACAGCACACCCTGCCCCGCACCACCGCTTCCTGCCCTATCCGTGCCCATGCGCTCTTTCGAGGCGAGTCTGATTGCGCTTTCCTCCCATTCAAGTCATATGCGTGATTGAACATATCCTTAATGTGTCGATGGAGCATTTGTCACGTGCAATGTCGAATTGACTCCAAGCCCCCTAAAACCCACACACCGACATCACCACCTCTCCCCTCCTTTGCACCAATCCTTTAGCCGATACGCCATAATAATGCGCACTTGAAGGTGAATATATGGGTCCAATCGGCTATGTGATCTCCCAGGTAATCAGAGTTGATGGCCCAGATCTTTGGCCGTTCGTCTAGACCAACGACGGCTCCAGTCTCTAACGCGACTCAAGCGAATGCCGCAGCCGTCGCATCCCTTGTGGAGATGCCAGAGTACGAGGCCCTTTCTTTGCTGCTGTGGATGCCAGCTGAATGTTAGACGCTCTTGAGATTTTCAGGACAAACCGGGGGTAGTTTGGATCCGTAATTGGTTTCGTGGGAAGGCGATCACGTGATGGTAAGCATCACCGGTCTGGGGCCCTTCCCACTGAGCGTCATTTTCACTGGCGTTATGGGGCAAAGTCATCCTATTAGGCGCAAGGGTCGACATTAGTAGTGTCGGCCCTTGCGGGCAACGTGAAAACAAAGCGTTGTTGTTGCACGTGCTGCTGCAATTTAGCGGCGCAATCAAAACAATCGGGCACAGCTGACAATGTAATTCAGAGGAAGTGGATTTAGCGGGCGCGTCGGCATCTCGCGAACGAGTGAGGCAGAAGGACAAAGCGTCGAGAAGTTTTCGCACATCCTGCAAGGATTGGAGATGCACGGGTGGCAATCTGCGATGGTGGACACAGAGAAAGTCTTGCGTTCATTTTGGTTCACCAGCTCATTAACAGAACAACCATTTCGCCGTTGTCTCTCTCTAATCAGCGTGCATCGGTTCTGAGGGGTTGATGGCTACAGTGATGGCGCCAGAGGCGGCAGTGACTGCTGAGCGCTTGTTCGCAGAAGTGCGACCTCACGTGCCATGCAGCTCCAAATGTCCAGCACACCACCTGATTGTCCTCAGGCAGGGACACCAGCACCCTACGGTGCTTGATGCTCTGCTCTGGCTATGATACCAGGGTTGCCTGTTGCAACGCGCCAAAAGTTGAAATGGTGATTTGGTTGTTTGAGTTGGTTGACGAGCCGTTGACGGTTACACAGCCACAGGCCCAGGGCGGCTGCGTAGTCTTCGTGCCCCGTTTGCTCGAAACTCCTTCGGCCTCGCAAGCCGCACCCCTTGGCGTCAGTTCTCATTTAGATGCCAGGATGACTCAGCAACGTTACCTAACAATGCCATACAACTTCAAAACAGTTTTAAGGGAAAAACAACCTCTTGAAGGAAAAGCCGCTGATGCGATTCAAACGGCTCCCTTTGGAGTGCACACGGGAAGCGCGAATCCACGATCGCCGATGCTTCAACGGCGTTGGCACACGGCCAGACGCAGGCCACACCACACACAAACCGCCGGGGCTTACATATTTGTTCGCCCTTCCCACAGCGGAGAGCCTTGCCGACGGTGGCAACGACCCCCGCAACCGAACAGTTCGAATTTCCTTGCACCCACAGAACTTTCCTTTTCACTTGACAAGGACCATCATCCATCATCAACCAGCCATACCGCGCTTCAGAGATGCCCACTCATCGCCACAATGCAACCCACTTCATAAAACATATGTCAAAGGTGCCCATACATTCAGTGGTAATGCACAAATATATACAAGTCGCACACCATAATGCATAAGTGATCCACCCAGTGAAACGGTGGTCATTATGCGGTGTTGCGAACAAACCAGAATTGTAGGGATTGCAATGATTTGAAATGTGGGATGCCCAAAACGATGATGGGTGAGAGCAGCCCCAAAGCCTGAAAATTGATCCATTTTAAAGACTACCGGAATGACTGAAAGTTCAAGTGAGGTTTTTCAACAAGTCATGAGCTATTTACCGCTGATCAGTGGCGCTTGTGTGCATCTTCCCACCTTATTTTGCTTTTAGTGCAATTACATGATCTCTTAACGTCAATGGCTCCCCCCCCCTTTTTCGTCAATCTGACGTTCAGCATACAGAAATCAAAATAGTGTGTTCCCTAATTCAGCTTTGATCCCATATCTAGGGTTGATCCCATGTCTGGGATGTGCGGCACACAATTACTGGCTGCACCAAATCGGTGACTTTCTGCACTAAATAAGTGACTGCTTGCACCAAATCTGCCCGGAACTAACCTAACCTAGAGCCTAAACCCTAAAACCTGGCCCTAAAACTACCCTAACCCTAACTATAAACTTCACCCTAAATATAAACCTAACCCTGAAACTGAGGTTAGGACATAGCGCGCACGTGATTTGGTGCAAGCACTCACCGATTCGTTGCAGGCGGCAGCATTATTTCGGGACGCGTGTGGTAAATTCAGATGCTTTTCCCAGGTACGCACCCAAAGCGCCCCAAACAGAACTTTGTCGAACCGCAGGGCGAATTCCTAAACAGTTGGGTTGACAGGCTGTTGCAAGTTTTCCACTAAAGTGTAGCCACCCCCTGGCTTCGCTGACAATGCCCTGTTTTGCTTCCACTTTGGAAGGTAGGCGCCGCAGCGTCGAGAACACGGCTGCGCAAAGTTGGCCACCGCCATAGTCACAGAAACCACCGGCCTGGCCCCCGCTGACGCTACTCAAGGCGCCAAGGTTTTCCGCTCCCGCTCCAGACGTCGCCTGCGGCCCGTGCAAAGCGCAGCTGCCGACACTGTCGGTGCAGGTGAGGCATGCGCCTTCCTCGCAACGCGCCATCGCCCTTCGCCGCACGTTCGACCAGCGACGGCTCGAGCGCCCCCTGCCCCCCGTCTGCGATCGCCTTGCAGGTTCCGGCAAGGGCGATCAACGAAACACGCAGCGATACTCAGCGGAGTCTCCGACGCCACCCACCAGCTTCGCACCTCCTCGACCAGTTTCCTTCACCAATCCGCGGGGCCCCAATCGCTCGCCGGCCTCCGCCTTTGCAGCTGGCGCCCATCACCGCCGCCGTTGAGCAGACAGACGCCCGCGCTGGCGCCCAGCGGCGCGCCGCAACAGCCCCTCCCCTGCAGTTCTCAACACTGAGTCGTCACTTTCCTGGCGTGGCGTGTTCCCAGATCAATCCCCCCCTTCCTCTTCCCTTTCTCCGGCTTCATCGCTTCCTCAGTGACACACGGGGTCCCCCTTCCGCCCCCAACCCCAACCCCCATCCTCTGTGTGTTCCGATCCCCCCGCAACGGCAAATTCCGTGTGAGCGCAAAACTGACCGACCCGCGGCCGTTGCGCAGGATGAGCGGCGTCTATCCGGGCGGCAACGGCTACGCGGGCGGGCCGGAGCGCTTCCCGTGGATCCCCAGCGGCCCCCCCTACTTCGACGGCGCCGGCGCCGTGCCGCCTGGCCCCAGGGTGCCAGCTACTGACACACCTCCCAACCCTGCCTACCCACCCGCCCTCCCAGGGCCCAGCCCCCCCACCCGTGGCTACCCAATCCTGACCTATAACCCAATTTCCGTGCCCCCTCCCCATCCCAGTGTCCGTCCCGGCAGGGAGGGCTCCAGCTACCCCCACCTGTTCCCATACCCTCCCCGGCAATTGCCCCAGACGGAGTGCATGCCATACAGGGGCCCGTACCCGCCCAAGGCAGCTGGCCATTCGGAGTGCACACCACACGACGTGCGGTACCCGCCTGTCCCTGGTGGACAGCCGGACTATGCGCAGGCGGCGCCTTCTGTGGCTGCCAAGTACCCCAAAGTGTATGTCGGTCATGCGGGGGCACCTGAGGTCGATGACCCGGAGAGGAGGCCTCAGAATGGGGCTTACGGCTCCAACTTGGTGCCGGTCTCAGTGCCGGGATCAGGACCACCGCAAGGTGATCACACGTTGCCTAGCTTCCTGTTGGTGGCTGTCTAAACGACGTCCGGAGGCTAGTTCATGGGGCGACGAGAAATCTGGGGATGCGCAGGAGTTCACGCTCCTTGGAGTGGATCTTGATCTGGGCATCTGATTTGCTGCAAGGACCGTTCCCACTCAAATTGGGAGTTTGGTGACCTGCGTGGCTCACGTGTGTCTTGTGGGAAGAATGCCTGTGTCACATTCTATGCTGTGTGTCCAGTTGCCCAACTGCCCTCGCCCCAAGGGCACCTTGTCCAGACCAGGCCTGCAGGACCACGGAAGAGGGCTTTAGTCATTGGGTGCAACTATGCCAATACCGTTGCAGAACTCAAGGTACCCAACCTGCTGACCATTGCTGGTTCTTGTTATCTGTTTGAGATTGTGGAACAACAATGGGGATAAAAGTGTATGACTGCACAGAGTGCCCATCGTTACTTAAGTGGCCTAACGGGCACTCATTTGTCGACCTTTGCAATTTTTTCAAGTAGAATTATGCTCTTGAATAAACCCTCACCAATTCGCTCTGTGGGTGGTTCACCACTGCCTACAATGGACGAACTGTGCTTGTACAATCGTGCAGATTTGTTTCATGACTGGGGATGTGTTGCACTAGCATCGAGCCATTTTGGTTTGGATGGCTTTGTCAGCATTTGGGGCATGTTTGCCCTCATGTGTTCGTCTCAGTCAGTTTTCACCTGGCCCATGCGGGGCTAGTTTCTTTGTCAAGTGCAGTGCAACACGTCGGCATCATGTAGATGATGAAGCATGGACATACCAGTCTGAAATGCAGTATCCCCATTCTGCAGGGGTGCATCACGGATGCGACCTACATCATCCACATGTTGCAGACACAGTTCAGTTTCTTGGATGAGAACATCAGGATGATGACAGACGACCAGCAAGGGGCACTGTGCCCCACCAAGAGCAACATATTCTTGGGCTTCCAGTGGCTGCTGCAGGTAAACAGCTCTTTCTGGCAATGTTTACCTGGGATCCTTACCTTGCATGCCACTTGTGCTGATTCTCTGTGTGGCATGAGATCATATTTTCTTTTCTTGTTTCTTCGATGTTCAGGAATTTCTGGCTAGGGTGAACTGAACAACATTTTAGGACTGTTCAATGAGTTGTGCCCCTGATCTCGTCTTGTAGCTGCATGTGCTGCACCAACGTTTTACAAAATGGAGTCAAAAGGATTGCTGCTGGCAGGGTGCCCAGGCGGGGGACAAGCTGTTCTTGCATTTCTCAGGTGAAGTGCACACCACCATTGTGGAAATTGTATGTATAATTGACTAGCCATTTGTGTTTGGATTCTCAATAGCATGTGTTGTTATGTTTGGCCAGCCAGTGGCGACAGTGCCTTTAACCCTTTGGGCGATTGTGTACTCACAATCGATATGCACAACGGAAGCTGAAAACACAAAATGTGGGCGCGCTGATGTCAATGTTGTATGGGATTAGAATGTGCACACATGAGACAATCAGGCCACAATTGGGCATCCATCTCCTGGCAGAGCATCTCTAGGCACTCCATGCCGGACACCATATCCTGTTTTAAACTGAGTGCTGTCATCAACTGCGATTTGAAAACCTCCAGTACAGTGGTACAAACCCCATGCAGTGTTATCACATAAACAGCTGCCCATTCTGCACAAGGGTTATCTGACGACTGCATTGAAGTGTGGCATGCAAGCATATTTCATGATCAGTAAGCAGTGATTTTTGTACAGATCATTGGCAGGTTGATATTGCCATATGTGTAGTCTTTTCAGCCAAACATTTGCATCGAAACAAGTGCTGACGTGCTACCAATAGCCTGTCAGAGATTGTCTAAGATTGTAAGTCCCGCATGCTCTGAGCCGCATGCACAGATGGCCCTTTCCAAGGATGATGCGTCAGGTCTGGTAGTTTGAATTGATCAATTGATCATTTGGTTAGTGCCTCTGGTCATTTGAATCAGAATATGGTAACGATTGCAAAGGCATGGGGCATACTGCAATAAGACGGGCTGCACCTAACACATATTGCCCAGGCGCAGGAAAAATTAGTAGCCCGATGAGGAAAGGAAACTTGTGTCATTTGAAAGCACAGCGGTGTTCGTTTGATGGTGTTCGCTGCTTGGGAAGTGTGCAGTCCTGTGCACCCCTGTGCAGGATGCTGATTCAGTGCGCCTGCCCTGCAGGGCATGGCTCGCAGCAGAAGGACCAGGACGGAGATGAGAAAGACGGCGCTGACGAAACTCTGCTGCCAACGGACTACCGCGATGCTGGCCACATACTCGACGACGAGGTGAACGAAAGGGTTGTGAATCCCCTACCTGAGGGCGTTGTGCTGCACTCAGTCATCGACGCCTGCCACAGCGGCACTGCCATGGACCTGCGGTACTACACCAAGTGCAAAAGGGGGACCTTCGAATGGAAGGACAACTACAAGTCACCCCACCTCGCCAGGACCAAGGTGGGCTGAACTAATTCCACGAACTACGTTGAGCTAAATGCCAAGACAGCGCGCTGCACTGTGGTGGGGGATGGCCCGGATCTACGAAAGGGATAACTTGTTTGTTCACCATGTAGAATGTAACTATTCAGCCTTTTGTTAGATGTTCCCCGTTTATGCCTCATTCATAACTTACTGACTGGCGCCAAAAGGAAAGAAGTGCCAGCACGCCTATGGCCAAGAAGGAAGATGGGGCCATAGTAGCTGGGTATGGCCACCATGCCAGCAGGATATTGCTTGGCTTAGATGCAGGTTGGATTGGTTTTGCTCGACTGAACTGAACTGGCTGACTGGACAACTGAAATGGGCGTTGGGAAGGCGACGCAGACTGCAACACAAGCATACATCAGTGTGTGTGACTGTGTCTCTTTCCGCAGATCTGCGTCCCTCTTCCACGATGGCCTGAAGCAGGATGGAAATCCTGGGATCAAAAGTATTCACAGGACAGAGGCCGCGATCGCGTCTTGCCTCGCATCAGGGACTGTTCAGGGCCCGTTCACGGGTGCCAGATAGTCCATGACGGAACACACAATCATGGGGTTGTCTTGACAGCTGGCTATTTGGATGCCGGATGCATATCCGGGTGCAGTGTTTGCCTGTTGGATCGCGGGGCCAATCTCCAATATCGCTGTTGTGCGTGTCAGCCCTGCAGACGTGCCCGGGTGATGGCATTGAAGCGATTGGAATTGGGCTTCCGCTACTCCTGATGATGGCTCTTGGCGAATCTCTTTCGCACCTGGTGGTTTGACTTCATGCACAAACAATGCCATTTCTACATCTGTACACCTTTCAGTAGAATGACATTCAGTGCAATGAATTAGTCTGGGAATTGATGTGTTGAGCCACAAAACCACAGGACAGAATTGAATAGGTCGAGCTAGGGCTCAGGAGAGCGCACCCCAACATCGTTTCTAGACACCTGCCCATCTCGCACGCAGTGATGCTGCGGGCTGTGGATTCATCAGCCACTCGCCTTGTCCATGTGCCTCTTTATACCGCTCCTCAGGAACTCCACACAGGACTGCCCCCAACCCCATGGGAACAACGAAAGGAGAGCGACCATTTCAGTGAAGGACTCTGACATGTTGGGCACCCCTTCCACAGCCAAAATGTCTCAAGCGCTTCTGCCAGGTCGATAATGCGGGGAAAATAGTCCTGCGGGTCGGTTTGGGCCCTTCTGCCACTGCATGGCCAATTACCTGGCCAGCACTTCTTGACGAATGCGATGTCTTTTATGTCGTGCCAGGGCACTGCCGGCGGCGTCGCCTTCCAGTTCGGAGCCTGCAAAGACTCGGAAGTCGCGCAGGACACGGCGGAGCTAGGGGGCACCAATTCCGGCGCCGCAACGTACAGCTTCATCCAGGCCATAGAGTTTGGGGGCCGCAGCCAGAGTTACGGCCAGATCTTGTGCCGCATGCAGAGGTCCATGGACAAGCTGAAGAAGCTGCGTGAGGACAGTGCAGCGGGGGGCGGTGCTGGGGGTCAATTGGGGCGATGGATGGAGAAGGTCGCGGCGCAGAAGCAGACGCCACAGTTGAGCTGCTCCAGCAAAATAGACCTGAGCCAGCCCCTCATGCTGTGAGACCCGAAGGGAGAAAGTTGTCTTCTTGCCCCTGAGGGATTGTGGGGGAATGGGGGTGACGGGGAGACTGGGGTGTATTGGGGATTTTGGTTTTTCCAATGTATTACACGATAGTTCGAGCAAAGGGGGATAGAGACGCAACTGGCGGGCGTGGCTGGAATTTTGTGTTGTGCCATCGGGTGTCATCGCCATCACTCGTTGTCACAGATTAAGGCAATGAGGGAGCCTTGGGATGTCACGGGCAAGTGCAGCCATGTTTCATAGATGTAGTTTGGTGGTGCGCACATCATTGTGCCGCCCCCTTCCTTCCTTTTCTTTTCCTCTTTTCTCTTACCTTTCTTTTCCATTCGGGGGGATGAGGCACTGGATGAACAGTGACAGAAGGAGCTTCGAGGGCTGTTGTTTTCTCTTTCGATGGGCCTTAAACTTTGCTTGCATTGGTGCTTATTCGCTTGCACATGAAATGGCCATTCAATTGGCACCACCAAAGGCCGCGTCCTCGGTCCCCCGCGTTGTTTCCTTCATTGAGGACAAACCCCAGGAGGTTACAGGGCTGGAATGCGGGGATGGATGCCTGTGCTTGGACCAAATTGCTAGGAGGGGCAATGCAGATATGCGCGACCCTTGCATCCACACAATGATGCAGGAGGTCCAGTGACGCGATGGTGCTCTGAAGAATGGATGCTTGCAGTTGAAAGTAGAGCCCCAGCCCCAGTGCCACGCACAAGCGAGTGTTTCATCACCCTCGTACAAAGGCAATTCGAGGGCAAGCACGCCACATCCCCCCCCCCCCTTCACCACCACAGTGACTGGCTGCCGCTGCCATTGGTCTGGGGTATCCGTTCCAGTATTTGCGTTCCATATTCATACCAGTGCAGGCCACTGTGTGCTGTCAGGAGCTCAAAACCTGCAGCCGAACTTGGACCACAACTCACATCTGTAGATGTTCTGTGTTCGGTTGGGGCCACCTATTTGCCAGTCCACTGTCCTTGCTCCAGCTTCTACTAAATGGGGAAGCACATTCCCACAACTTCTGGCATCAGGCAGTCCGTAGCTGCAGTCAGCCAGTGTTTGCTTCCGCAGCCTACAGTTTCTTTGTCCACAACACCTAGCTCGCTTGACTTCACACTGGTCGTTGACAACGTGACCACAACCAATGCGCCATGATGCGCCATCAGCATGCGAGTTTGGGACCCAGCCAATGCTAGATGGTAGTCGTTGACTACGTGACCGCAACCAACGTGCCATGGTGCGCCATCAGCATGCGAGTTTGGGACCCAGCCAATGCTGGAGGGATGCTCACAGACGCCGGCCATCAAATGGCTAGTTCAAAGTTATTGCTGACAGTTGGACGATCCATGGCTCGATAGTTCCAATTGTCCACTATTCCGTCATCTTGGGAGCCACAGTGGTTGCCGCACCTTTTGCCACCAGCAGCTTACTACCACTATATTCATGCCATTAATCATGCCCATCCCAAACGCCAGAAAGGCCAACACTGTATATACCAATGTCATCCTGTCAAACAAAATAAATGCGGTCCCGCTATCACTCTCCAAAGAAACTTCACACATATGTGCACTGCAATGATCCTCTGTCCTGCTCCATTTCGCAGCGGTTGGCATTCACTGTTCTGGCCAAACTTTCAGCTCTGCAGCTCTACGCTGTGATTGTCGCATGGGCGTTGGACTGGGGGCAATGCACAGAGTGGCCTTGCCCCACCACAATTTTGCACCATTTCATCCCCATTGACATGCACTGTTTGACTGTGCAGAAGCAGAGGCAACCCAAGCAAATTAGTGTTAACGTCGTACTAGGCAGTCACCCGGTCCCCATGGTCGCCATGGCCAGCAATCGCGTCCGATACCCTTGCAACTCCTCAGCGGTCCTCTGCAGGTTGCCATTTCTTCCCATGTTGCTCAGGTATTCCCTGAAGTCTTCAGCCAGTTCACCACTGCTGGTAGCCCTGTAGCTAAATTTCTGAGCATCGACGGCAAAGGTAGTGACCAGTACAGTCACCAAGCCGATCAGTTGCTTGGCCACCTCCTTGGACGCTCTTCCCCCCTGAGCCCTGCCGGCCTCCTCCAGTTTGTCGGCAATGTTGCCCACCTCACGAGACAGCCGCTTCAACAGGTCAGCGCGCTTCGTCATGGACGCCAGCTCATGCGCACAAGCTTCAGCCCTCTCTACAATCACCTTGCTCTGCCCCATCACATACAGCATGATTTTCGTTGCACCCAGATGGACAGGCGGCTGGGTCTTCACTAGATCGCGCAGCCACAGCAAAGCTGCTCTTAGCGTATCTGTGTTTGCATGTCCTTGCTGCTGGCTCACACCTGTGCTTCCCCCCACGGCTGATCCTGAGGCTGTAGAGCTGCTGGGGGCACTGGCTGCGCCCCTGGGTGCACGCGCACCTTGCCGCTGAGACGCCTGGGCTGCACTTCGCCCACCCTGCCTTTTCTGCTGGGCATCTCCTGGGCGCTGACTTTTCTGGCCCTGTCGTTGCTGAACATAGCCATTGCTATGCTGGTCATAGCCATTTCCGTATTGGTTGTGCTGCCCAGGACCACTGCCACTGCCCTGACCAATCCAGCCGCAAGGACGGCCATGGTTGACGAAATAGTCGCTTGCATCACCAAACTGGCAGTAGTACTGGCTTTGTAGTCCCACGCGGGCATCGCTGCCCCTTCCGAATCGAATCTCCTGCGGCACATAAGCATCGTCATCGCCTCGGCTGGCCGTCTCAGCTTGAGCTGCCTGAGCTGCCTGTCGGAAATTCTGCCATCTTCCTGTTCCAATGTCAAGTTGCTCAGTGCTGGACTGGGAACCGTTTTGGTCTCCATTGCGGCCTCCATGGATGGAAGGCGCATTCTGACCTTCTTCCCTCCCTTGCGCAGGGACAATCATGCCATTCCCACTCACACTTGCTTGGCGCTCTTCTCCAGCGCTTCCAGAAGAGCCATGGACCCGTGTGTGGTCAACTTCCCCTCCGTCCATGTGCACAAACACACCAGTGCCATTCGCACTCGCCCGCTGGCCATCACCAGCATTTCCATTTGAGCCATGCACCTGTGTGCAGCCAACCTCCCCTCCTGCCATGTGGACAAACACACCAGTGCCATTTGCAATTCTGCACTGATCGTCGTTGGCAATGCCAGCCGAGCCGTGTGCCTGCCTTCGTTCATTGTGCAAAAGGGCTGACACATCCTCTCCCAGAATGGGAACAACCATATCCAGTGTGGCCCAGACACCACTGGGTTGGTGCTCTATCCACCTGCCCGCAGACAAGTACTTCTTCCAACTCTCTAAGCTCTCATGAGAGAAGGGGCCCTGCATGTTGCCCTGCCGCCCACCAGCACAGTTGTCACATCAGAGCCCAGAGCCTGTGACTCTGTTGTTCTAAAGGAGTACCCTTTTGGGAACCAACATAAGTGAACCTGAACAGCTATAAGCATCAATAGACAGCCCAAAAGCTGTGCCTTGTCAAATCGATGTCAATGCATATTTCCATGAAGCACACATACGATTGCCTGTGTATGCACAACATGCAACGGGATTGTGACCTTGCTGTGCTCACTGGTTATAACTCTCTCTGTGTAGGTTTCTCTGTCATCTTTCATGCCATGGTAAAGAGACCCAAAAAATCCGAATCAAAAGAAAAAAATGTGATGTGCAGATACTTCTTTCACTGCGACAACTGCTCATTGGTGGTAGGTACTGTGTGACGTGATGCAGGAACTTACAGAGTCGTCGATGTACCGCCAAACTTCAGCAGATTTTTCGATCCCTGCACCAAACCCACACAGTGAGTTCAAGCACATTCCCAAAGCAAACGCCTCATGATAGTCTTGGTGTACAGTGACCAAGACTGATAGCCTATGTCAAGCCCACACAGCAATTGTTTCACAACACAGGTTGCAAAGCTTGTGACTAACACACAATGCTCTTGCAGTCGAGCAATCTGCTGCCAGGGCCAGTGAAAGAGACCAAAACAAAAGAAGATAGAACAGGATTGGGGACTCCAAAATGGAATTAATGTTGAAATTGGAGCAATAGATGTTAGAACAAATAATCCCTATTTAAGGTCGAAGCACTGGAAAACAAAATGAACAGCAATTGTCTTAATTCACTGTATAGGAATCGAAGCACTGTCTTGTGCCAAACCCTCCGAAAGCCAAATTGCATAGAAAATACACTCAATGAAGATTCATGCTGGGAAGACCCGCTTTTTGGCATCCAGCAGATGTGACAGTGTCAACTGTGCTGAGCCAGTGAACCTCTTGCATGTGCCAGCTTCTCTGCAAGGAATGCCAGCATGTGCCGGACAGCAACCTGGCTTCAGGTGCAGCCGGACAGGTCTTTGTTGCCATCAATCTCTGAGCAGTGTCTGCTGAGGTGTTGACAAATACCATTAAAGCAGGTTTCTGGATCATCTTTTGCAGTGTGCACAATTCTAATGTGTGACCTTCGGTCCAGAAGGGGCTGCCCATTGTATGGTATGTCTGATTTGCTCAAGAGAAGATTGACAGTTAGGGGATAAGAACCAACCCGAGAGCACAAAGAATCAATCAAGTCAATAACAAGAGGGACAATGGCTCCGGGGGCAGTGGCATACTACGAGTTGATTGACACTCGCCTCCCAGCAAGGGGGCCCAACAAAAACCATCCGTCCAGCCAGTTGCTGGCAATAACAAGCAGTTCTGTTGAAAGCACAAGAAAGCAGCTAGAGACTCAGTTCTTCTTACGTCCGTGGCCCAGCTGCTCCAAACATGACAAAAAGGCAGCCGCTGCCTGCACCACTGTGCCCGTGATGTCCACCTGAAAGCCCTCCCGCGTGTCGCTGTGCAATCTAGCCTTGGCATAGATCTGCGATGAACACATGTGCTCAGAGGCATCGCCTCTCATCAATCTCTCAGGCATACGGGTGGGTCTGATGCTGGGCGGGCGCATGGACCGCATTTGCAGTTACGGGATCCCGAGAAAGTCTTGACCACCCCAAACCCTGTGGTCCACTTTGACAAGAACAATATACGCTCAGAACGCATTTTGTGTCTCAGATTTCAGCGCGCTTGGCTCAACATCGCGAGCACCCAGGCAGCCAACGAGGCCAGGCATGTCCCCCTGACGGTGGGCGCGACCGCAAGAAAACCCCCAGGCGCCCTTGAGGCCGCAGATCTGATCCCGACCGAAACCGCGCCCCACAGACGGCCAATGGAGCGCGGAAGCTACCCCACACTTGCTCCACTCGCCGTCAGCCGTGCTCGAGCCCGGCACGCTCCTACGCGCGCTGCGTTCGATGCGACCCGCTCCCAGGGCGCAACCCGCGCAGCCGTCACCCCTGTGGACATCCCCGCCTCGCGGCAATTCCTCCGATCACCGCCGCCGCCACCACCCCACGGGGCATCCGCACGCTTTCGATCCTCCCCTCCCGCACTTTCCTCCGCTAGGGTTTCGCAATCAGCCCCATTCGCGACAGGCGATCGCCCGCTCACCACCAGCCGCGTCCCGGCGGGGCCCTCTGCGCCGGGACTCAACACAGGAGGCCTCCCGAACCTCTTGAACAGCAGCCTGGCCTGCAGGATGGGCCCAAAGGGTCAGCCAAAGTCATCCAATCACCTCCGTCGGCAGCCGTCGAGCTCACACGGGGCCACACCATCCCGCGCACCTCATCTCTTGGGACGTACAGCTTGGGCGCGGGAGCCGCCATGAGCGCCGCGGGGCCTCAGTACAAGCGCAGGTGGCGCCTTTGCTGTGGCGGCAGGGCCGGGCTGAGCGGCGGGGCGGCTGCGGCGCCGGCCGTGCGAAGGGCGGTCGCCCGGCGGTTCCTGGTGAGCACTGGGGGCTTGGCGGTGGCCAATTGGTCGATACATCGCCGTGTGCTGGGTGAGGATATATTAGTCCCGCTGTCTTTTCTGCGAGGATCCCTCCTTGCGCTGACGAGGCCAACGCCGGTCACGGGTTCAGTGGTTTTAGGGTGTTGCAGAAGTTGCCCCATCGCGCAGAAAATGGCGGCAGTCATGTTGAATAAAATGAGGAGGGCCAGGCCATTATAGACCATTCTGACCGCTCCTATAACTGGAGTCATCCTTGTCTCGTCGGTATTGAACATCCAGGCCAGCCACCCAAGGAGAGTCACCAGAAGTTCCCCAACCCAATGGATGCCAGCGCCCAGGAACCTCACGCTCCGTCCGACAACGCCAGCCAACGCCGCCATGACCGCAGCCCCTTCCATGGGCGATCCCGGAAAGCTCATAATCATCTCGCACCTCACCGCAGAGGTCTCCACCAGTTCCGTACGACGCAACGCCCTCACAGCGTCCACCCGTTGCGCATACCGGCCGATCCGCACTCCCGTAGGGTGCTACGGCACTCCAGCACCAGCGACGGCGCTCGCCTTGCGTAATGCGCCGCCCTCAATCACTCCGGATCCCCACAAACGCCTTACTCAACACTCAGCGCGAGTGTGAGCAACGCCACAGAGCCTCGGGGCTCCTTAGGCCGGCTTGCGGACGCACAGGTACCGCAAGAGGGCAAGACCGGTGAGCGGTCGAGCCGGCGGGGGGCTGTGGCGCGACGGTGGGGAGATACAGGCGGCTGGGACACAGAGAGAGTCACACAGAGGCCTGCCGGAGAGCTGCCTGGACAGACTCCCCGCGGCTTTTTATTACAGGAGTGTCTGTTTGGTACAGCTGTTACTCATTGGTTCACCCCTCTCGTCACCCTTCCGAGTCCACTCGCACTCCCGGACAAGAAAAGACCCAATCAGTCACACATTCCACGATAGTCCACCCCGTACAATCGCATGCCAGCCAAGCTTGTCACACGCTCCTCCTCCGCCAGAGATTCTCTTGGACAGCTCCGGTCGTGCCAGCTGGCCTCAGGCATCCTCCGGTCATCGCGTCATCCGCCAGCGTGCACCTCGTCCCGTCACGATCGCCGCCCCGTCTACCGATTTTCAGTAGTCCGCGCCCTTCAGCAACCGAATCCCGGCGGGAGCGATGGCGTCATCACCCTCTCGTTGCGCGTCCCATCAAAACCGGGTGGCAGGGTCGGTGTCATCACCTCGGCAGCGCCGATGGTTGCCAGTACCGTAGGCGGCTCCTCACTGGGTGCATCCACCATGACGTCATCCGGGGCTTGACCACGCGCCCGCGCTTCCCGGCGCTGACGCCGGATGGCCCTCCGCCAGGCGCGCTCCTCCGCGCGTACCTCGACGTCCGTGTACGGCAGTTTGCCCGCGTTGAGGTGTCGCTCCACGATCGCACTGGCTTCCGCGAAGGCGGGCTCAGTTTGGATCCCGAAGTCCTTCCTCTCCTGATGGGTGTGTCGCTGCGTACTCGCGGCGGGTCATGCCTCCACCTTCTATGCGCCAACACCTCGCGTCTGAGAACGGCACGCTGATGTCGAGGCTGATGTGCACCTCGCGCCTGTAGTAATTCAACTCGGCGCCACGCCAGGCCTGGATTCGACCCCCCGCACGTTCGATCATCGCCGCGATCCGCTGCCGAAAGGCCTGCGTACCCATGCCGGTGTATGGCCGGTGCGGATGGGGATGCACCTGGAGGGTCCAGGGGCGGTACACGGCCTCCGGGTTGTAGTCGGGATTCCAGTCCGGCTTCTCCCCTGTGATACGAAAAGACTGTGGGTGTGGGGTTCCTGCCCTCTTTGAGCCGCGGACCCGCCTCGCCGGGCACCTAGGTCCTTACGGGAACCTAGGCGGGACCACCCCTCCTACTCCCATATCCTAATACTTAAAGTGGTTTCCCTGGGTTGAGGATAGTGTTCTTGGGCAGGGCGTCCCCCACACCAAGGGCCAGTTGTAGGGCGTCCCCCACGTCAGGCCGGTGCGCGTAACATTCGTCCCCCTCAGGGAGGTGGGGCGTCCTCATCCCAATATGTGGATATGGGAGCAGAAACTTTATGTGTATGTGAATAGAACTGGCTGTGCGATTTGCCACATGCCCAGTTGTGAAACACTACACAGTGAAGGATGAAGAGAAAGAGTGGTTGTTTTTACATGACCTCCCGGTCTGCACAACCCTCATTAAAACTCTTCCTCAGCCACATGGTTGGAGTGTTTGACCTCCCGGTCTATGGTCTGCGACCCCGAGAATGGGAACCACCAAATGCCCATGCCGGTGGGCGTCGGCTCGGTGCGGGACCTCGTCCTCGCCCGCGGCCACGCCCACGCCCAGCTCCACGAGAGGCCGGCACGAGCGGTTCGTCAATGTCTAGTCTTTCTCCGTTCAAGATCGCAATGGACATGGCGTTCATGTGTCCGAATTGCGTCTTGGCACGGGGAGCGGTGTACCCAGTGTTCTTCTGGGCCCATCTCAGGAGAACCTATCAAAGCATAGTCACACATGAGCATTTCTCAGTTTGTACATCCCGTACTTTCATGCAGTTTGCATTCGCATCACAGGTGTTCTACCATTTTCAAATGCTTGAACCAATTCCTGTGCATTTGCAACTGACTTTGCTGTTTCCCAGCTGTAATGCTCATGTCCATATTCCAGCCATTTGACAAGGTACTCAATATAATTTTTGCGTCTCCCACGCTTTTTAACCCTTTTGTCAAGGATACGTTCAACCAGAGGTGGGCCGTCCAGGAACGGGGACGGACTAGGAACGGGGACGGGAACGGGAACGGGGACGGACCGGAGTCCGTCCCCGTCCTTGGGCCGGCCAGATTTGGGACAAATTTGGGACGGACTGGGACGGATTTGGGACGGACTGGAACGGACTGGAACGGGTCCGTTCCTGACCCAGGAACGGACCTAGGAACGGGTCCGTTCCTGGGGTAGGAACGGTGTCCGTTCCCGTCCCAAGAACGGACCCGTCCCTGGGACGGGAACGGACTCCGTTGCCGTTCCCATTCCTACCAACTTTGGACGGGCCCACCTCTGCGTTCAACCTCATACTCCAGTTCACCTTCGATCTCGATAGGAACTGGGGGTGGCTGTACTCTGCCACTTGCCTTGTAAGGCTTGATTTTCGACACATGAAATACTGGATGTATTCTATGCATGCTTTCCGGGAGTTCTAGTCGATATGCGACAGAACCTATCCGGTCGAGGATGGTGAAGGGCCCAATCCACCTCGGTAATAATTTTCGAGTTCCAGGGTGTTTGAGGGTAATACGTTGTGTCGAAAGGAGGACGTCATCTCCTTTATTAAACGACACATCCCTCCGATGGCGGTCAGCATGCTTCGACTGCCTATCTCGTGCTTTTTCCAAGCATGCCCTGGCCTCTTTCAGCGCTGTCTGGACACGGTGATCAAATCGTGTCACTGCTGGTAATCCCTCCACGAGGGGTGTACCAGACTGCCTCAAGTAAGGCTGTTGTGCCCTTTCAATGGCCACTGCCAAGCCGCGGGCATTCGGATTGTCATAGCCTTTTAAAGGCTTCCGAATTTGCACACCAAGGGCTAAGGGACTCCTTGGGTGCCTCCCGTAATTCAGATAGAACGGGGTCTCTTGGGTGGAACTGTTTTTCGAGTTGTTCATTGCAAACTCGGCCATGGCTAACAGTTCATCCCACGCGTCATGGTCAGAACGCGTATAGCTGCGTAAGTAGTCCTCCAAAATCCAATTCATGACTTCGGTCTGGCCATCCGTTTGTGGATGGTACGCAGTGCTCATGTTGAGCTAAATCTTCCACCTCTCGGCCAGGTACCGGTAAAACCTGGAAGTGAACCGAACGTCTCTGTCGGACACTATCTGAGAGGGGAGGCCGTGGTGCCTTATCACATTCTGCACCAACAGGTCAGCTGCTCCTTCTGCGGAGAGCTCGGTGGTCGTAGCTGCAAGGCGGACCATTTTGGTCAGTCTATCGACGAACACGACGATAGCATCATGACCTCCCCTAGTTTTTGGCAGTTGTGTAATGAAGTCCATGGACAACTCTGTCCATGGCTCCTCAGGAATGCCCAGTGGCTGTAATAAGCCTGGGGTCTTATGACGAGGGTACTTAACCCGTTGACAAACCAGGCAAGTATCGACGTACTGGTGTACTTCTCGTCGCATTCCTGGCCACCAGTAATGCCGCTGGACCAAGTCCAGGGTCTTGGCTTGACCAAAGTGTCCCACACTTGGATGGTCATGAGCCAACTGGCAGATCTCAGTCCGCAGACTGGCAGGTATATATACCTGATTGCCTCGCAGCCATAACCCGTCTGTACAGTGCATCTCTTGCTGCTGTCTTACAGACGTAAGCTGGGGATCCTTGCCATAGGCCTGACGGATCCTGGAGGCTAGATCTTCGGCCTCTACCATCTCTCCTGCCTCTCTTTGGCTTCCCCGCTTATGCACTACCCTTAAGCCACATACAGCCAGTTGACTTTTCCTCCTAGCCACCTGTTCATCTGGCGATGGAGGAATACGAGAGAGTGGATCAGCCACATTCTTTCGTCCTGGGCGATATTCCCAGTCAAAGTCAAACTGTTGTAAGATTTCTGACCACCTGGCCTGTCTCCGGCTCAGCTGTGGTTGTGACTTAAAGTAGGTCAACGGACAGTGGTCCGTTACCAGGTTGAAGCGTGTTCCTTCAAGGTAACACCTCCACAACTGGACAGCATGGACTGAAGCTAAAGCCTCCTGGTCCGTCACGCTGTAGTTCAACTCCGCTGGGAGGAACTTCCTGCTCGCATAACAAACAGGGTGATTGTCCTGCATTAGGACCGCCCCTACAGCAGTTTGCGAGGCAT